CCTCGTTGGCTGAACGAGGCTGATAGCACGCACCAGTACCGGTAGGGTATGGCGACAGTAGAAATTAAAGGGAGACGCACAATGGACCAATAACTGGTCTAAGTGCATGGGGAAACCCACCCCCTCTAATAATAATAATAATAATAATAATAATAATAATAATAATAGTGATTTAAGTGTTAACAGCATTTAGAAATACTTTGATGCAGAAAGGAAGTTTTAAAACAAAGTTTCTACCTGCCAGGAACTCGGAATATTACGCAACTATAAACACCCAAGTTCTTGTAATTATCCTAGTACGAAGATGGCAACATTTAAGATATTAGATGGGCATTACATATAGCATAAAATGAGTAGAACATGATTTTGGTTGATAAGATCTTGTTGAAAATGTCTGCGTGGGTGACTTGTGAGCAGTGGTTGCGAAGGTATCATCAAATAGATCTTCGAGAAGTAAAGTTCATGAATGTGAGGAAGCGGTTGAGATTGAAATCTGTGGTGTGGATGTTTTGTTGAATTTGATGTATATGAACATTAAAATAGAAAATGTGTTGAATAAATGAATACCTGTCTGTAGATTACAATTAACTCTTTAACTGGCAGTTTATTATTTATATGTTTTGGGCCTATGTTTGCGTCGAATGTAATGGAGCAACGGTCAATGATGGTCTTGAAGGATACTCTCCTGGCTTATTTCCAGGGTATCACGTATATTGGCATTCTCCTTAAGAAATTAGAGGAACCCACAGCATTCCAACAAAATTGCATTGACACAGCAGCTATTAGAGCTAGGTATGTCCCGAATGCTTGACTATAAAATGTTACCTTTATACCAGCCTGCTTGGTAGCCATTTACACATAAATACACTGGGGTACTTTCAGTTTGCTATTCTGCATGTTTTCTGAAGCATACTGTTGCAACCCTTATATCCTCCTTGAATTAAATAGGAGTACGTGGGAGGAGCTGGGATAGGGCAGTCGGTATAGCGACTGGCTACGGGTTGGACGACCGAGAAGATCGGAGTTCGAGTCCCGGTAGGGTCAAGAATTTTCTCCAGGTCGTCCAAACTGATTCTGGGGCACACCCAGCCTCCCATTCAATGGGTACCGGGAGCTCTTTCCTGGTGGTAAATCGGCCGGGATGTGAAGCTGACCACTCACCTCCGACTAGGGACAAGGTCATGAAAACCTTTATCTATATATCCACTTCGCAAGTCATCTTCGAGGCGCAGTTCTTGGTTAGTTAAGCACAAGAACAACTTAACCTTTAGTTTGAAATTCGGCATATGCTGCAAGAATATTCTCCCTTCAATATGTCAATATGAAAGAACCCCTGATTTGCGCGGGCAAATTTAACTAAGCTCCAAAAGGACGCCTCACTGCCATTTCAAGAGATGTGATCATTCTCCATCATAAATGTGGAATTTAAAGTTTTCGTAGTGGTGATTATGAAAAGTTATGTTTTGTGGGACATACCGCCGCGTATTCCGTTGAAAGTCAGCCGAAGTTTCGGAGGAACATTTCGTCTCCATCTTCAGGGTTGAAGAGTAAGCCAAGAAAGAAACGAATATGAAGCAGGTAAAAACGCAGATGTGACTGCTTTTGTTGATTTCTTGCTTGGCTTACTCTTCAACCCTGAAGATGGGGCGAAATATTTTTCCAAAATATCGGTTGACATTCAGTTACACAGCATTATATTCCAGAAGATCAACCTCGTTGTTAACCCCGTGTTACAGTGTTGATTCCAGTTTGTAACTCCTAAAATTTCAAGGTAAGATTCTTTAGGAGCAGATCTCTCCTTCCTTGGAAACCGACTATTAGCAAAATGCTTGGGCTCAAGTGTCTGTTAGTACAGGACCTTTTGGACCGGTATGCTTCCTTTGAGGGGAACACATTCTGTCAATTATGTCCACATTTTTTTGTACATGGGCAATTTTGTCCACGTGTCAAAATATCCATCTCAATATTTTTACTTCTGCCATCCCTTTTATCCATGAGTTAATTACTTTGAAAAATTAAATGTGAAAACCAAGCATAGCTTAGAGCATGGGGGAAGGGGGGTCCCAAATCTCCCATGATCCAGGAGGAGGTTGTCTTTTCACTTCTAGGAGAAGCTATTTAGTCTTAGATCACATGAGCACAACTGCTTTGTTCAGTATATTCCTGTCAACTTAGAATGTGCCTAAAGCTGCTAAAAGGAACACTCATAGGTACTATGTAACATAAAAAGTGAACTTTAAAATATGAACGAATTATCCCTTCTTTCCTTAGAAAATGTATGGGGGAAACATACTATATGTTTTAATCAGTCATTTCAGATATTCACAAACAGCTATTGGTTTGTGATAATATTTAAACCCTTTGAAAGAGGTATATGTAAAAGTAACAACCTCTAACAAAGCATCTTTAATAAAGGTACATTGACAAAACTGCATGGATATTCTGTGCCAGAAATGAACAATTGTATGTCCACATTAGATATTTGTGGATAATATAGTTACTGGAAGGAATATGTGACTAGAAAAAACTGATCCTAATGTGAACAAAGTTAACTAGGCAATCCTGTACACAGAACAAAGAATATTATTTGTTGAACATGACTTTGAGAATTTCATACTTTTACTAGGCAACCCACAGAGGGTGGGTTCAGTATGATGATTTTGGGTCCCATCATGTTGAAAATTAAAACTATCAGTTTTATAATGATGATTGTCATAATCTGATGCTAAGACATTCTAAAATATATTGCAGATACAGTATACTGAATTAAATAACCCATAACCAGATAGCACTACGTGGTGTAAACAGTAACTATCCACTCTTTGTAAACCTGTGTATACACATGACATCATTGATGACCTTTCCATATTGCTGTATATTGCAGTCTAGTGGTTAACCGTACAGTGATCTTCATTGAAGTTTTTTCTCCACCCCCCCACCATGGAAAATGCAAAGCTACTAAACTAAATTAGGCTGTGACTGCTTCCTTTGATGCCTTTTCTGCTTTCTCATTCTCACTTGCCCTATCACCCAGAGCTCCATAATATTTTTGAAATTGAACAAGGATCATTATAACTAAAGAATCAATCACTTTCATATTTTCATGACTTACATGTGTGTAACTATACAGGGGTTATTAATTGGTGAATTGATTTATTGGCCACTACATGTGTGTGAATATAGACGGGGTATGGCCTGGTCATCAACAGCCATGCCCTATCAGCAGCTTCTAACAGTGGAAATTCTTCAGCTTCACGCACTCACATCATGATTGTCTGGTGAATATCCCACAACTTATTTCTTGTCAGCTGTCAACTCAACTATAGTACTGTCTTTTTTTCAGCCTTCCTTGCAGAGCTCAGCTCAACTCAACTTCCAACCCTGAACTCAACTGTCAGCTGAACTTGTCAACTAGAATATCTTCAATATAACTCCTCAGAGCAGACCACATTGAAAACACCGTTCCTCTGTTGTTGCACACGTGTTTGTATCAGCAGGAACGTGTTTGCCAAGCAATTACTTAGAACTAGGTTGCATAACCTGTTGTTCTATTGTTTCATGTGTGCATGCATGTTGTCGGTGTTACCTAGCAATGGCCACTGTTTGCAGAGTCACCACTTAGCAACAGGTCTACAGGGTGTCCCAGGAGGAATGTGCCAAACTTCGGGAGGGTGTTCCTTATGTTAAAGTATGCCGATATAACCCAAAACACCTATGTCCAAAGTTGAACGGTTACGGAGATAATGGCCCAAGAAAAGTGTGGTCTTCTGGCAGGTCCAAGCACTGTACCTCGCTGTACCTCTCAGCTGAGAGCCCTTATCTATGTTTGTCCTTGAGTGCGATGATACTCCCTAGCCGTGCTTATGTAGTTGGCTCATACCAGAACGCGCAGTCAGCACGTTACGTCATCGCTCGCCAGTCATGTGTTATGTATACTGCTTGGAAACCTAAGGACAATTATGACATGGCGAGCGAGTATTTTGTACTTCAATTTTATGGCTTTCCGTCACTCACAAGTTGGTTTGATGTTACGTACATTATTAACATTACAGAATCCACATATTCCTGCCAGTTTTAATATGTATTTTGTAATCAACAAGTGTGTAACCCCGGTCAAAGTTTGACACTTCTCGGGCCATTATCTCCGTAACCGTTCAACTTTGGACATAGGTGTTTTGGGTTATATCGGCATACTTTAACATAAGGAACACCCTCCCGAAGTTTGGCACATTCCTCCTGGGACACTCTGTATATGTCACTACTTCTTTTGACATTTTCAGTTCCTTCTTATGAACAATACCATGACAACTATTCGGACTTCTTAGGAGAAACACCACCACTGGCATTCGATAGCATCCAGAAGAGTCATATGTTTAAAATTACTTAGAAAATATGCAGCTTTTATTAGGATAAGTTATTAGTTATTTTTGCCCTATTTAAAGTCACTCCTCTAATGCATATTTGCTGTAGCGTCAATTTAGTGTTTGATTGACATATTGGGAAGGATAAGGTCATGATATATTTTTAAGGTACTAAGTAAATGTTTTCTTAGGGAGACCAAGGGAATCCTGTCGATGTAGCCACTCAGTGCACTGAGAATATAACCTGGAGTCTCCTGAATGCAGACACTTTGCAGCCCTTTTTATGGGAAAGAGTGTGACAACCTTGTAATTGAAGTGTATTTTAAATTATATGTGATAATCAAGCTTAATTGCAGCAATATTTATTGAATAAGAAACAAAGTGATGTTATTTGGAAACCTGAATGCCCCTTGTCAGTGGTCACTTTTACAATATCCATGAGATGGCACAAAAGAACACCACTCTCTACTATTACCTCCACCATCACAGTATTATCTTATTCTAGGTTTATTTCACAGGGATTCTGCTCTGATCCATGGGTATCACCACCATCCAGACTAAGATATTGTATAGGATCTTCCTGTGTGGTAATTTGTGAAACAGTTCGCTTATGCGTTCATTGACATGTTTCATTTCAAGGAATCAGAAGGAAACTCCTATTGAGCGTGAGATTCGCTTGGCCCGAGAAAGAGAGGAAGAACTGCGTAGAGAGAAACGCCTTCCTCCACTCATCTCTCAGCCTTCACCACCAACTGGAAAACAGGAGGTCTGTGTTTATGTAATTAGGCTGTAGAGAATTATTTTGCTGATAGAGAAGATAAAGAGGGCCTGGCATAGATAAAATCTCAATCAGTTATAGAAAGAAAATGAAATGTTATGTACTATATTAAAATAAAGTATAGTCATATAACATGTCAGCTGGTATTACTCTTCAAACCATCCTCCAGACTCTGAGGATATGCTGCCCTTAACCATACAGTGGATGTTGATAAGTGGTCAGTTTCATGATCTTCCTGGCTCTTGCGGAGAGTAGGTGATAGAGATTGTTCCAGTTCTGATGCATTTTCAAAGTGGGGAATTATAAAGCATGGTGTTCCACAGGGATCAATTTTGGGCCCCTTACTTTTTCTTCTCTACATAAATGATCTATCAAAACCCATCAATAATAAATCTAAACCAGTTCTATTTGCAGATGACACTAGGATAATATTTAAGAACTCTAAAATTGAAGACTTTAAAAATTATATAAATTTTGTATTTGAAGCTTTAAATAGATGGTTCGAAGCCAATAAACTCTCACTAAATTTTGATAAAACCCATTACATACCATTCTTAACCAAAAACAGCCACCAAATTGATCTGGTCATCAGTTATGCCAACAAATTAATCTGT